ACATAAGCGGAAGAAGTGGGAGGAGCACCTGAAGACTTGTAATTTCACCTCTGGTGTGAGCAAGCTTTGGTCAACCGTGAGGTCATTGTCTAACACGACGAAGCACGACGACAGAGTCGAAATTTCCTTCGGCGACCATGCTTCGTCGGACCCGGAGCGATGCGCGAGCTATTTTAGCCGGCAGTTCATACTGCATCCTCCGGTAGACAAAGCCAAGCGTCGAGTGACCAGAAGGCTGCACAAACTGCCAACAACTTGTGCCCCCCTTGCTTTCACTTGCGGTGAAGTTCAGGTGGCCATCGGGAAGGCGAAAGCCTCCAAAGCCATGGGTCCCGACGGAATATGCATGCTGATGCTGAAAAATTTGGGTCCTGCGGGGGTAGCGTACCTAACGGAGGTCTTCAACCTGTCAATGGCCACTCTCATCATCCCAGACATCTGGAAGGTGGGGAGAGTGGTCCCACTGCTCAAACCGGGGAAACCCGCCAACAAAGGAGATTCGTATCGTCCGATTACACTCCTTTCCCCGGTAGCGAAGACACTCGAGGCCTTGCTACTCCCGTACTTCACTAACCACCTGACCCCAGCGAAGCATCAGCATGGTTTCCGTAAAGTGCACAGTACAACAACAGCACTTAACGCCATAAACACTCAGATAACTCGTGGCCTTAACCGCAACCGTCCCTGTGAGAGAACGATTCTAGTAGCGTTGGACTTGTCAAAGGCGTTTGACACCGTCTGCAATTCCACGCTGCTAGAAGATATAGAGGCCTCCTCTCTCCCACAGAGGCTCAAACGGTGGTCGGCAAATTATCTGAGTGGTCGACATTCGTCGGTAATTTTAGAGACAAAACGAGTAAGAGCGAGAAAAAAAAAAAGGGGGTTCCACAGGGTGGTGTCCTTTCCCCGCTACTGTTTAACTTTTATCATTTCAAAGCTCCCTCAACCACCAGAGGGAGTCTCGATTGTCTCCTTATGCCGACGACTGCTCGATCATGGCGACTGGGAATGGATTGATGACCTGTGTTGCAAGTAAACGGCGTATCTCTCCGAACTTTCTCGCTTCTTCACTGCAAAGTGTCTAGCCCTCTCCCCTACGAAATCCTCCGCGACCCTGTTCACAACCTGGACGAAGGAGGTCAGGCTACCGATTGGGGATTCACGTCGATGACACACCAATTCCGACGGTGAATAACCCCAATAATACTCGGAGTAACATTGAGCCTGTCTTCGCGAAACGCTATTCAATAGTACAGAGCGCAAGTCCTAAAGCTGCGCATACGGCAAGAAGAATTACTAAAAAGGCAATAGGCCGGCCGGTTTTGAACTACGCGCGCCAGTGTGGTCGCCGGGTGACTAGTAGGACGCAGTGGACGAAGCTACAGACGGTCACAGAATACGCGCACTTCAGGACAGCGACGGATGCCTCCTGATGTCGCCTGAAAACCATCTCACGGCGAGGCGTCAAATGCTCCCAGTTAAAGGAGCATCAATATAATGCTCTGCAATGCAGTTCCTGATCGGGAGCCACAGAAGTGGCCACCCAAACAGACAGCTGCTTGCAGAGGAGCCCTCGCCTAGGCACGTCAGGAGGCATCTATATGAACTGACGGACGAAGTCCAGAGGTTCATAAGCAACCTCTGGACCCGACAGCTACGACAGGCCCTGAACGGCATTCACAGGGATCAGTCTCGAGTTATGTAGACTCTAGACCTGTGAATGCCGTTCTAGGCATACCACCCCCGGACACAGACGAGACGAGCTTCATCTGCCTCGGGAGACCGACACACCCAGCCAACTTCGTCCGGCTACTGCAGCAGGTTAAACTCCTACTGAGTAGGCTGAATGAGGATGTCCGAATGAATGTCCGGCATGCGGAGAGACTCCAACATGACTCGAACCATCTCTTCGCATGCCCGGAAAACCCGACAACCCTAACGGCCTTGTCCCTGTGGACAATCCCACAGAAGCTGCACGCTTCCTAGGGTCTGCCGTTAGTGAACTTGACGACAACGACTGAGATACCAACCGTCCTGGGCGGGGTTGTTGTAGCCGCTACAACAACAACAACAACAACACGCCGCCAATTTACTGTCAAAAATTTCTCATGCACACACATCTTGTATGGGACTAACCGAAATTGAACGGCGTGCGTATGAAGCTAGCTCAATTTCCAACTTTTGTGCTGCGTGACATTTTGATTTGACGTTTCGCTCAATGAAATCAAATGCAAACGCACGCAAGCCAATTTCGGGTGACGCAAAAAAACAAATTCGACGGCGTGCGTACCAAAACGCAAGCCGCGAATATTAGGTTAGCCTGTAAAGCGCGGCCGAAGGCCGCCTACGCAGAAAGGAATTCATAAAAATCAATACTTCTATAAATAACTAAAAGTTAACATTTTTATTACAAAATCTCTCGATTTTAGACAATCACTTTGGGTACTCTTTATGAATTTGTACAACGATGTTGGGTTGCTGTGCCCAAACGCGTGAATCGAATCAAAAACCTTTCACACACACTTGTAGACAACAGTTCACGCTTTATTACAAAAATAAAATTTACTATATCTGTGCACTAA